ATTATTCGAAATATAAAATAATTTAAAATAATTATATATAAAAAATTAATGATATTTTAAAAAAATAAACTTTATAAATTATAATATATAATAAATTAATAATAATAATATATTATTATTAGTTATAAAGATAATATATATTTATATAATGTAAGTTTAATAATTTATATAAGATACTGTATATTATAAGAAAAACCCTTCCCAAAATCGCGAAGCTTTCGGGTTCGGCCGCGTCTCCCTCTTCGAGTCTTCTCCTTCTCCTCGCAAAATCGCTAAATGCTTGCAGCCGCGAGAGCTTAGGGTTTGCTTTTTGTGTTCTTTCTCTAATCTCTGCTTCTATTTGTCTTCGATATAGTGTCTTTGTACTCGGCGAATCGGCGTTGGCTTGACTGCTCGGTATTCTTGCTTGGTTGCTCGACATGCTTCCTTGATTGCTTGTTTGGCTACCGAGGTATTATCTTTGAGTATCTTTTCTCTAATATTTCATATTTATCTTCAGGTTCGCCTCTTAGCTTAAATTTTTATCAATTTCTTTTAGATTTATTTAGATTTTGTGAGTGAAACCGAGTTTTTGAAATTTTTGAAGTGAAATCTTGCCAATAGCCTGTACATTTAATTTTTTTATGGCTGAGATATGATATAAGGCTTTTGCAGTGAACTGTGATTCAACTATTGTGCATTTGTGATGTGATTCGGTTGTTTTGCTGCACTTATTTTCATAAGACTTTTTAGCTAATATTGAAAATGCTTGATTCGATTTTTCCTGCATTTGTGCTGTGATTCAGCTCTTGTGCATCGAAACATTGGAAGACAAGAACAATGGGCAAATATTAGAGTAATTTTCATCATTAATGGTAGAAACAGACAACATTAAGACTTAACAGTTGATCTTTATATTCAAATAGTTGAGAAAAATAGTTATATTGCATCACTTTAATTTGTTAAAGCATAGGGTGAATGGCTGTCCATTTATAAATTTCTCTTATTGCTTAAGCAAAATGACAGAACTTGTAGTGAAATATAAGAAAAGATACATACCTTAAAACTTTCCTTGTGTGATTGCCTTCCTGAATCTTACACTTTAGTATTGGCCCAATTCAAAATATCTACATCAGTGATATCTTTCCATTTGTTTTTGAAATTTTTGGGAGTGAAATCTCACATATTGCATCTAGATTTGATTTTTTTATGGATGAGATATGATATAAGGGCTTTGTTGTGAAGTTTGACTCGGCTATTGTGCACTTGTGCTGTGATTCATACATGTTAACCATCAATTTCATTCAAGTTTGAGCATTTGTGTTGTGATTCAGCTATTTCCTCTAAAAACCAAAAACTGTAGGATTTATTGAAGTTGTCATTTTTGCTTTCTTTTTGGCAGGATTTTGGTTAAATCCTCCTCAAAACGTGCTTCCAAATAGTGGCACTTCACCACTAACCTAGTCGGATTCAGAGCTATCGTGTTCATCGGCAGCAATGGCAGATGTAGTACACTTCCGCCTTGAGCGGATGGCCAATGAGCTCGATGATCTAGAGCGGCGCGGACTACTTGAACGGGACAAGATCAGCGAGATTGTTAAGCAACGCCGGGAATTTGAGTACAGGCTCCAGCGACCGTCGCCTCTGAAGCAGGACTTCTTGGCCTACATTGAGTATGAAAAGAAACTTGAAGCCTACAGGAAGCTGAGAAAAAGAATGATCGTCCGCCAAATGCAGGAAGAAGCGGATGAAGAGGAGGGAGAGAAGAAGAAGAGAAGAAAGAAGTGGAAGAAGTCATTCTCGGACTATGCGGGTGTTCTCAGAATTTTGGATTTGTACAGGATGGCAGTGATGAGGTATAAAGGTGACTTGGGACTTTGGTTTCAATACTTGGAGTTCTGCAAGGAGAGGCGGCATGGGCGGATGAAAGAGGTATGTTGACTTACATTTTAGCCCTTTAATATTGCAACAAAAAAAAAAACCTAGGTGCAAATAAATTCTCCAAGTAGTGTATTTTGCACTTATATTTTTTTTTAATTAAAAAAAAAACTGTCGCTTAAATAGTTTCATTGATTTATAACTTAATTAAACCATTAAATATTAATGTAATTTTTTGCAGGCACTAGGCCAAGCCCTTAAACTTCATCCAAAAGTTTCTGGTCTTTGGATATATGCAGCAGCGTGGGAGTTTGATAAGAAGTTAAATGTTGTTGCGGCTCGGGCTCTGATGCAAAGTGGTTTGAGGGCTTGCCCAAAATCAGAGGATATGTGGATTGAGTATCTAAGATTGGAGCTTACATATCTAAACAAACTGAAAGCTCGAAAAGAAGCTCTTGGAGAAGATTTACAAACATTGGAACGAGGTGGTATACTGGTTAGGCAGTGGAAAGAAGACAACAAGGATCTATTTATGTCTCTTGATGCTGGAAATGATGAGAAAAATGACAAGAAAGAATCGGATTTAGAAGAAAATCATGCGGAGAAACAAAATTTATTTTGGCAATTAGGTTTTATGGTTCTTGAAGCTATATACCATGAAGCAATAAAGACTATTCCATCAAGTATTAGCTTGCGAAAACGGTTCTTGGAGGTATTAAGTTCCATTGATTTAGCTCACTCAAATGAACTTAAGATAGAGATATTGAAAGATCTCAAAAGAGATTTTTCACATGATGAACAGTACTGGGATTTGATGGCTAGAATACAGCTTTCTGATGTTATCATGACTAATGAGGAAGATAAACATGAGGTTTCATCCAAGTTAAATCAAGCTTTTCAAGTGAGTTGTCATGTTCTTCATTGTTGTCTTTTGCATTTATTTTAGTTTTTTGTGTCATTTTTATCAATGTTACATCTGCATTTGTTTTCGTTCTCTCTTGTATTGCTCCCTTTTCTTCTTCTCCCTCTCATACACTAGCTTTTGCTACATACATGCTTAAATGAAGGAGTTGACCATGAAACAGAGAAGGTGATAGGTGAATTGGCTTTTTATTGAATCCCATATTGTTAGTGCTAATCATGCATGTTATTATGTCTCCACTTTATTTTTGTCAAAAAAAGTTGTTTTTGGGAAGCTTCCATATAGTGGCGCACTACCTGTCTGCAGATACCCATCTTATTAATATTTGCATATTTTTTATTTATAGATTTATGAGCGATTCCACGTTATTAGTCTTGAACCTGTATTATTGTCATTTGATACTTGTTAATTCATCAATACTATTTTCTTAGGCATACTATCTTTCACAGAATACTCTTCTGACAATTACTTGAATATTGTCAAATTTACAGGTTTATGAGGAGGCGTTGAATGTTTTACCATCTGTCAAGATGTTTTTCTTCTTTGTTAAGTTCTGGTCTGATGTGACATGCCCTGAGAGTATGATGCGTAAAGTTGGACTAGATGTTTCAGAGTTCAGTTTGTTTCTAAAGAAGGCATATGAAAAAGCTGAATCAACTGGTTGTCTTATTGAGGATCTTGCTTGCCTGTACATTTCATTCTACTTGCAAGATGCAAACTTAGAGAAAGCAAGAAAAATGGCTGAAAAGCTTTGTAGTGGTAAACTTTCAGAGGCTGCCGCTGTATGGTTGCTGAGGATTTCCATAGAGATAAATTGCCTTGCTGATAAAACTTCTTCCATGAGTAAGGACGATCTCGACCACATCTTTCAACTCCTTGAATGTGTGCTGAATAGGCTACCTCTTTCCAAAGCTGAAGGCTTATGGTTCTTGGTACAATGCATAAACTCTTTTTTTTTATGTTTTTCTACTGTTCCTTTCTTTTCTACTCTGTAGTTTTTTCTTTTATTATTTTGCCCATTAGTTATCATAAAATATTGATTGATTTTGTTACATAGACATCATTTTTTTTGTGTAATTCTTTCCTACACTCATTTGATTTCTATTGTTTTTTGGTTTATTGTGCATCCTTTCATGTTAATGCACTAAGTGATTTCCATATGGTATGAGTAACTGCCTTTTAATATTCAATATTTAATAATAATAATAATAATAATAATAATAATAATAATAATAATAATAATAATAATAATAATAATAATAATAATAATAATAATAATAATAAACTTGGGCTTACATAAAGATGATAGAAATTCATTGCTAAAGTAGGCAATCATAATGAATTTGAATTGATTAAGAAGGAAAATTGGTTGCACGGGAGTTAATTTTATGCATGTTAAAAAGTTAACCTTTTGCCAGCTTCTTATTCCATCTTGCATTGTAGGCCTTGAAGGTTTTTTCATGCCACAAAGCTTATTTTAAACGGTTGGTGAAGATTTTAGAGGCAGCATTAGCCAGATGTAGCAGTAGTTGTGAATTTTCAGTTCCTGCTGCTGTTGTGGATCGAACTCTCCAAAGGGATGGTATTCTACATGCAAGAGTTCTTTACAATCGGTAAGTTTTCAGTTATTTTATTTGATAATTTATAGGATTTTATCCTTTCTTAATTCAATGTAATTGATATGATTACATCTATCTATTTTTATAGTTCGCCGGCAAGCATGTAGCAAAACACATTATTCAAATTTTGTCTGACCACATTTTCTCACCCATAGTCAATGCATTATAATATTGAAAAAATCCTTATATTGAAAGGAGTGTTTCACTGATGATGTTTATATGTTATGCAAACATGCAGATTTCTTGCTTTGCCTCATCCAGGCTTGGCCTTTTTTAAGCACTGCATAGAGTTTGAGAAAAACTTAGCTTCTTTTGGAGATGATACTGCTTTGCAGAATGCTCGGAAGCTATATGAATCGGCTCTTCAAATCTATCGCGAAGATAGGAATCTCTGGAAAGATTACTATTCCATGGAGATGAAGGTATGCTTCCTGTTTTTGCTTCATTTTATTGTTTGACACATGCCACTTAGATATATATTTAGGAAGATTTACATACATACCACTCAATTCTTACAGATTTCACACATATAATGCTTAAACTTCAATTTTTACATACATGCCATCTTATTTAAGAATGAAAAGGGTGTATTTCACTTTTTAAAAGTTCAAAAGATAGTTTTTTTTTATGTGATCTGAAAGATTTGGGTAGTATAAATATAAAATGTAAAATTTAGGTATTATATATATAAATACATAGGAATTGGGCATTATGACTTTAATGAGTTTATATTTTCACTTAAATTTATTGTAGATGGGAACATCCGCAACAGCAAATGCTGCATATTGGCGTGCCCGAAAAGAATTGAAGGACACGACAGGATTTTGTCCACCAAGCTAATTTTGATGTTAGTTACACTTTCTTGTGGCACTCAAAATTAGTTTTTTGATTAATTTGGTCATAATTTATGTTCTATTATTTTTTGTTTGGTTGGCTATTGGTTATTGCAGTCTACTTGGTTCACTAGGGGGGTGAAAGCAGATTATTGTTGCATTGTATTTTTTATTTATTGTTGCAGTTCAACACATGCGTTTCGATTGAGTCATTTTATGTCTTATGTGGTTGGCGATTCCTTCTAGTTTTGTAATTGGAGATTGATGGAGGCATATTCTTCAGTTTGTTCATTGTTGTTTTTTTTTTTGGCATGCAAATAATATATTGATTGAATAAAAGGCTTAGTCCGATTGAAAGATTGATGCAATTTTTATTTTTTTGCTAGCATGTAAGGACAACAATGGTAAAGGAACTTTGGTGACAAGAAAATTTTTTTTTTTTTCAGAAGCTACATAATGAGGTGCAAAACTTTGAAGGCCTCGTTGTACGCCCATAATTATGTGGGTTAGGTTAATCAATAAATTAAATGCTTCACCAAATTTAGAAGGTGCCAATCACAAAATCAACTCATCGTTCATCATTGTCATGTATAGTTAGAAGAAGTCCCTAGTGGTGATAGCTTGCATTTGTTCCCTATGATAGTTAAAGAGCTTCAATTACTGTGGGAAAGTTGCAATCCTTAGCCATTTGATGCTAAATTTAAATTATAGATGTTCATATTTTTTTAAAAAATGTTGAGAACATTTATGGTGGGATTCGCTTGGCTCATAGCACTTGTTTCTCCACCAGTCTTTTTTACATTGTCTTATTATTATTTTACATTGGTGAGACTAAAATCAAATTATTCAATTGAGAAAATGACGATTGATTTATTTTGTCAAGAAAAGTTTTCGAGTTAAACTAAGATATTCATTCATAATGAAGTTGTCCAGGGTAGTCATCACTGTATGAAGATTTTGACAATATTTTTAAGAGCAGTCAATTCAAGAAATCACTAATCCTTTCTTAAAAAGTTATTCTATCCCAATCTAAACAACATTAAGAAGCATGTATTCCACCAAGTGAGATTTGCTACATGATTTTTTTTTTTTATATCCTTTGTCTCCTATTGAGTGTCATTTTCATTTAATTCTAATAGATTTAGATTATTTTTTATATAATATGCCCAAATCTTTTTAGGTGTACCTCTGCCTTTCTTAACATAAGTCAAATATAAAACATCTGCTCTCCTAATTGGATCATTAGATGATCAACGTTTAATGTGTCAAAATCATCTAATATGGCTTTTACTAAACTTGCTAGTCATTGAAGCTATACCAACCCTATCATGGATATATTCATTTGGCATTTTGTCTCTAAGTGTCTAGCTACTCATTCACCTAAGCAATTTCATCTCAACAAAATTTAATTTTGTTTTATGCTTATCTTTTAAAAGTCAACATTCTGCATCATAGAGTACTGTAGGTCTCACCAACATCTTATAGAATTTCTCTTGGGAGCCTAAATGACACTATTTTATCACACAATAGGCCCGATGCATGCCTCCACTTTAACCAACTAACTTGAATTCTACTAATAACATCCCCATCTATATTACCATCACTTTGAACAATTGATCCAAGATATAAAAAATGTTTACACCTTTTGATAATTTGATCACCCATATTTACAACTCTCCTACTATAGCTAATACTAAAATAACATTCCATGTATTCAATTTTATATCCACTCAAATGAAAGCCTTTAAGACTTCAATGTGGGCCTCCAAATAATTTCTATCCCAGTTTAATCACTAAAACAAAAATCTATATTGAATTTTGTTAGGAGGTAGGGTACCGTACGTTTGTGAGTATACATAACTCGGCAAAAAGACATTGTAATCAGAGAGAGAGAGAGAGACGGATCAAAAACTTTTGAGAGAACCTTATAAAATATATTAATTTTCAATCTCCAGTAAGCTATAAGGAAGTGGCCCTTCAGAGGTTCCCTGTTATTAGATTTTAGTGAGATATAGAAGGCAATCTTTATAGTGGAAGGAAAGGAGGACCCCCATAGAAAAGGCCAAAAAAAAAAAAACACATGTTTATCCTTTTTGCTCCCATTTTTATATTTAAGGGTGGAAATTTGAAAAATAATTTAAGCAGTACATTTTGCGTTGTATGTTGTCTTTTTCAGATGCCTTGGTGGAATGATTGTGATGTGGATGTTAGATATTGTCGATTGATGTCAGATATTGCCAGTACGGCAGTCGCATTTGGTATATGGGTGAAAAGATAGAATCTCAAATATCGGGTGACACTTTTAATAGGGAATTGACGGATGCCCGTACTAGCAGAGATGATGACTTCCTCGGGTAGCTGCCATAGTGCGGTGGGTTAAGTTAACCACTCGAGAGAAATGAGAGCTATCGGATTGACAGACAAGCTCGATTCAACCACTTTAATAGGTAGGCTCAATTAAGTAAAAAAGATATTTAGCAAAAATTCATATATATTTATATTTTTGTATACATTCTTATATGCTCACCTTTTAATATAATAAATTGAGCTTACCGAATTTCAAATTTCATATATATAAGTGATTGCAATCAAATCAAGTCTTTTAGCCAAATTTTTAGCTACCTTTAGAATTCAGGTTGTTGTGAAGGAGATTATGAGATGTAACTATTTATATTGGGCTCTCTTTATAGATGTTGTGTCTGGGAGTTGAAGTTATCTGATATATCATAATATTAAAGAATCACACTAGAAAAGTGTTTTTGCATGCATTCAAAATTAACTTTAAAGTAATTAATAATCATGCTGAGTATGAGATTATTGTAAAGACTATACACTCTGAAGTGGCTAATGCCACTTCAAAAGAATTGACTAATCATTGTTTTGTTTAAAAAGTGGTAGAGAGAGAGAGAGATAATAGGAAATACATGAGGATAACAATTAGGCAATTGTGAAAGTTAGAGCTAAAAGGAGCATGCTAGTCAGGGAGTTTAAGAGATCGAGCGATAGAAAAGAAAGCGGGCTGACAAACAAAAGAGACAAAATGAGAGATTGAGGGATTAGGTGAACGAGAAGCAATGTTGACTGATTTAGTGAATAGTGAGCAGCACAATAAATTTAGAACATGCAAAGGAAGCATCATCTAGAATTGTGCCAAGCATAAGCATGGTTAAGACTTTTCTTCTCTTTTAAAAATTTTATATTTCAAGAAATGAATTTTATAGAATTCAAATGCTGAAAGAAATGCATAATAAAATAACCTGGAAGCAATTTGCATATCTCATTCTCAGGGAAATCTGAATAAATATCAACGTGACCAAAAGTTGAAGAAGTGCATGAGCTTCTAATGAGTTGCCACTACTTGCATAAATGTCAAGGCTATCTAACTTTGGCTTCCAATAGTTAGCAACTGCCTTTGCTCGCTCTTTAATTTCATCCGTGAGCTTTTGCCCATTAGAAAGCGTCTCAGAATTCATTATTAAAGAACTTAGAGATTCCATCAGCATGATGTAAGTTCTGGCATCCTTCTTTCCATCTGATCCTATAATTTCTCCTGAATAGAAGTTCTTCAAGGAATCCAACACCAGGCTAAATGGATTACTTGCAGCTTTTAACGAAATTGGGATCTCTTCACAAATGGAGGCAAGATTCTTTCGATTGTCCGAAGTGTACTTTTGGAACTGTTCTACATCCATCTTCTCACACAATTCCGCCAGCAGTGAATGATGTTTTTCATCTAAGTAATTACTTTCCACAGTTGCTTCATCATATAGGTCAGATTTGTCAGATTTAATAACTGTAATATCTGATCCATGTTCAACACTGCTCTTTGGAGAACTATTAGTTGGAGTAAAATCAACTAATGCTGGTGGATAGTTCCGATATTTTTCAAATAAGGTAGACAGAGCAGCATCTCGTTTCTCTTGCAGCCTCTCTAGTGCGGCTTGTTCCTTGGCTACAACCACAGCTTCTCTCCTTTCTAGCATTTTTTCAGTCTCTGTTACTTTACTCTAATAGCCTCTTATATTTCTCCTTGAATAATCGATTGCTCGGTATTCTTCCTTTGTTGCTTGTTTGGCTTCGTTGCTCGGTATTTTTGCTTCGTTACTTATAAAAGGCTTTTGTTGTGAAACTTAGTTCGGCTATTGTGCATTTGTGAGGAGATTCATACAAGTATAATCCTTTGTGTTGTGATTCAGCTATTGCCTCTGGGTCAGTTTTTTTTAAAAATGGATGACTATGAAGAATATTATGCTTATTTCCTTTTGTTTTTCAAAACGATAACACATTTTCGCCGAAGTTTTTTTGGACTGTATCAGTTGGTTGTTTATTGTTCAGGGCATGCGTCCATGTGAAGCCCATGAACAAGGATATATTATTCTCATTTTGTCAAATTCTAATGTGTGGTTTTATGAGAAATTTTATTTGTGGGAGAAAATCTTAGGGCATTTGTTTTCCTTTCATTGAGTTGTAAAATACAAAATAGCTGTGCATATGTCAATGATGTTCATTTTTAATATTTATCAGCATATTTATAATCTCCATTAATCTGTAATATTCCTCTCAAAATATTTCTATTTAACAATTTATTACATTATAAATAGGCAAATAGCGAGCATCCCTTGGCTAAAGCTCTAGTGGAGTATGCTAAGACGTTCAGAAAAGAAGAAAACTATGCTGGGCCCGAAGCACAAAGCTGCATTGCTGTCACTGGTCATAGAGTCAAAGCCATAATTGGAAACAAAAAGCTCATAGTGGGGAACAAGAGTTCGATGTTTGATTATTATAATTTGTAAAAATGATGAATAAGTGCATAATTTATTTTTAGGGATTTATTTTGTAAATTTTTTGCAAAACAATATTAATTTTTTTATTGCGGAAAATTTTGTCTTCAATTTGCTCTTGTAACTTTTTTTTAGTTAATAAATATCTTGAGTTTTGTCTCAAATTTGCTATTGAAAAATTTTACATAAAATTCTTATTTTATATTAAATAAATAAATATTATTTCAATAATTTTATATTCTAACGAGTCATTTTTGAGCCGAATATTAACAAAAAAAATATTATTCAAGTCGAACACGAACACGCTACTCACGAGCAATTTCGAACGGGCCGAACACGGGCCATGCCTTCGTTTACAACCCTAATTCTATCATTCTCATATTAGCATTATCTTCTGTCTCTTTCTAACTTCTTCCTTATTCACTAACTAATACCTAAATAATATTTAGGGGCATTTACATACATACCAACTAATTCTTATATATTTACATATCTAACACTTGAATTTTACTTTTAAAATTAATATCATCTAAATCTTTTATATCACATCAAAAACTTTATCATTTTAATTTTTTAAAAGTTAAATTAACATTTTGTATAAATAAGATGATGTATATTCGATATTAGAAATGTAAATATTCAAGAGTTAAATGATATGAATGTAAATTTTTTAAATAATCTTTCAGTGTAAAACCTGTCTATTATTCGAGTTTACGTGCAACCCAGGCATTGGCACGAATAAACACCCTCTAAAAAAAAATTATTATATTCAAACTCCGAACGTAAATTATATCCCCAGCCAAGTGAAAATTTTTGACATGACAAATGGGCTCACATTCTTTTAAAAATCATCTATAATCAATATATTATAATGAAGCCCACACCATGCCAAAATGCAATATGCTCTTATGTAGAATTCGACCGAAGCCAAAGCTGTTCTGTGTACTCAACGGCGCGCGAAGACTGAAAAGCGAGGTGCTTGTTTTTAGGAACTCGTGTAGTACATCTGTTTTCCCGCCTATATATAGATATCAGAGCATGCTGTAGGAGGCTGCTGAGGGAGTATGGAGGAAGAAGCGGTGGAGACGCAGGTGATTACATCAATGCCTTTCCGTTCCGTCATATATTTTTCCCATTTTCACTAAGATCGATCTCTTTCTAAACCATCTCTAGCGAATCTCTCTTCATTTCGTGTTGATAGGTTCGATTCATTTGTTTGCGGGTTTCTGTGGGAAGCCTATCCCGTTGTTTCTGTGCTTGTCATCTCCATATTCAATTTGCTTGTACGGACAGCTTCGGTTGTGGCTAGGAATTCCATCAAACGCTTATTTGTTTGATTATACATTGATTTAGGCTTTTATAGTTTTTGTCATCGTTTTATGGGTATTTAATACGAGCTTCGTGAGCTTGTGATCATGATTTTTGATCGCAACTCTTGTTGAGAGAAATTCTGTTGTCATTTGCTGCTGATTTCTTTGGATAGTTCATTTTCTCATTCCGAAAATTTCATCTGGTTTCCTGGTCGTGTGTTGACTGGATATCTTGGCATAATTATGCTTAGAAATTTTTATTTTAGGGTTGAAAAGACCGAAGAAAAGGATTTTCAGTAAAATATATTAACAAGAATAAACAGCTACTATTGCGAGTTTTTTGCAGCACGTAGGTGTTCGTTTGGAAATTTGATGCATAAACGTGTATGGCATATAGCTTTGCAATTATCAACTGATCCTTCTACTAATGCGGCATAACTGTTGGCGCTTATGCTGCTGCTAATGCAATGAGCATTATGGCTCAGAACTATTGAATAATTTAGTGAACAGCGGACAGGGAGGAAAACCTTTTATTATTGTTTTTGATTCTGAAGTTTTAATAAAGGTATCGTAAATCTTGGCACATGAATTTGCCGTTATCAGTGTGCTTTCTTAGGTTTTATCTTTTGCAAGAGCTGCTTCATTATGATATAAAGGGCTTAATTGTTTGTGAAGCTGCACATAATTGAATGCAGCTTATTGCCTAGTTCCTGTAAAGTTTCTTGTTTCATCTTCTATTCTTTTTTTTCCATACAGGTTTACATGGCATGCATTATGCAAGGTCACAGGCAAGCATACCTCCTTTAAATTCCTCTATGTTATGCATGTAATTCTTACGGAATCATCCACAAGATTTGAAATTAACATTCTTTTTCATAATATAATTAACTTGTATATTGTTGTCTAAAGTCTTCAACATAGACACATGTTCAAACACTCCCCAAAGTTTGCATTAGCAGGAGCTTTTTGCCTGTGTGTGTGTGTGTGTTTATGAATCTTTTATAGAGGGAATGTGATTTCTCTTGACCATTGTGTTTTAATCATAAAGATTCCTTTAGAATTGATGGAGATAGAAGATAAAATTTATGAGTAGTCACCATTTATTTGAATAGGCTTCACGCATAAGTGAATGGTGTACAGACATTGATATGAAAATATCAAATTGATGGAGTATCTTTGGAAATCATTGAAAAAAATATTAAATTAAAAAAAAAAAACCAAGATGAAAAAAACAGAATTTCCAATTCAAGCAAAGAAAGAATGTTGGGTAAAAAAAGCAGAATTTCCAATACTAGCAAAGAAAGAATGTTGGGTCAAACATTTGGTGTAGTTGATTGATGAAAATTTTGAGCAGGCTTGTTGAACAAATAATAATTGCAACCAATGAATTTTACATCCTATTTACATATATTTTTGGTGAAGTTCAGTAATTCTGATTTCTTTCATGAAGTTTAGCAATGTATCTCATTGAAAGCAAAATGCGCGGCTAAATTAGTATATTCATATCAGTAAGCATTGTGCTAAAATCCAATCCGATAGTCCCAACTCATATGTGTGTTGAGAAGCATATTATGAACATTGAAACATGCATTTATAAAGAAATTAGTAGAATTTGATCATTATATCATATCATAATCATCTTTAGTCTGATCTCAGCTATTTGGAACTGGCTTAATGAATGTTTATTCTTTCTTTTATTATAGTGAAGTGTAGCATGAGTTAGTTTTATTGTGCGCAAAGATTTTTTGCACACCTTTTAACTCCATGAACCTTGGTCTATCCCTTTCTCATCTTAAATTTTCCACAATAATTTTGTCTCTTATTCAGCCGTAACCGCTGAGCAATCTGACCCTCAGTCAAGGAGAGAGAGAGACAGAGAGAGGCTTCTATTCAGGCCACTTGTCCCCCAAAAGCAATGAAGACTGTGCCCCGACATTCTGAGATTTCTCGTATAGAGATTCACCAGGACGAATATCAAATCGGATTCCAACGTGACCACCCCTGACTATATCGTTGATACGTAGAACTATGTTCTCGTCAAATCTTTGACTACATCGTCACTATTTATTCAAGGCTGTTTAACGCACATTGGATTGGTTTCAGAAGACTAGCAGACGCAGTTATGCCCCACCGAAACACAACCTACGGATTATCTAGCTATTTGCTACATTTCTCGTTGGTTTTAGGATTTATACGCCTTAAACTGCTAATCAGTTGAGAAGCTATCATCCACCACCTTAACCCATCACTTTCATACAATTCTATCATTCATGACTGAATGGTATGATCCCTTTTTAGTTCACCTCAACACCATCATCAAGCCAACCCACATCTAGTTCGCTTTAGAGGATACACTCTATTTCCCTCTGATAGCTGCCCAGATTAAGTGGATTGAACCGCT